AGTATGGTTTAAAGCACTTGATATCATACTCAAGTCCCTGCCATTAGGGTCGTATTTCCAGTGCTTGTGTTGCCAGTGCAATCCTGACTTGAGCATTGAATAGAGTTCTAGAATACGACCCTATATCTTATTGGCCATCATATTTCATGGTTTAGTATTTTTTAAGAACGATTCATACGTTATGTGCAATTCCAACTGTTTTATTGTTTCGCAGAATTAGTCATGTGTCATGGTTTCCATAGTCTAAGGCCTCCTGAAGTGGTAAGTTGGGGCTATCTCCCCATAAGAACCTTTGGGAATCTCTGTCTTCTGGCCAAATCTTAGTCTGCGGAAACATTTCCCTGATATCTCCTGTCAAGGCAACCGGACCTTCTATAAACCGCAAGGCTATACTCACTAAAGGCTGAATAATGTCTGCCTCTATATGTATGGTTAGTATTTCCGATGCTCGTTGAGCGGCTTCACCCGTACTGGCGAAGCTTCCCAAAAAATCATCCATGTAATGATATTTACTGATGGACGTACCGTACCGTAAAGAGCTGCGGAGAGTCGAACCATGTTGTCACTTGCCGTGAAGCTCTCTCTAGATTGCTGAAAAGCCCTTTTAAAGGCCAACCAGTCTAAAATACGACCATCAAACTTAGGGATATCCTTACCCTTCCTTTCTTCTGCCCCAGGTCCGCGATGGCATTGGCGAGTAAAATAAAGTTGTCTTGTGTACCTATTTTACCGTGATTTTTATTTCTGTCCAAATTACAATTTTCACATCTACGGCTATGTGTACCTAGCTCTACAGGTGTTTGTAAAGAAATATTAAGTAGGTCCGTAGCGTTGTCTGTGTGGGTAGTGCGACCAGGAAAGGTAGTGGACTGCTTCACAGGGAATCCTTGGCAATTGCAAGGCCTAGGCTCCCGCACCGAAGGTAAGGAGGCTGCTCGGGCCTCTGGCTTGACAGGCGCAGTATGAAGTGGCGGAGACCGGAACGAAGAAGTAGGTAAGTGACATTCATCGTCAAGGCTGTGCTTATATCCCGTTTCCAAGTCACAGGGGCACACTTGATTAAAATCTGAAACTGCGGCACTATTATGAGAACCAACTAACCAGTTTTCTACGTAGTCAACACTTGAGCCGCGTGAAGAGCCACTAGCAATAACAGCTAGTTCAGCCTGAAATTCAAGGTCTGCCAATGTTTTTTCGCGCTCTACGGCGGCTTCTTCCCGTCTAGTAGCAGCCTTCTCGACCTTTGCTATAAGCTGTTGCGCTTTTACAATAGAACGTGCTCTTGAGTCTGAGAGAGATTTGGTTAGAGAACGAATGCTTGGAAATGTTACCGCTAGCGCTTGGGCGCTCTGTTCAGGTAACGCAGGAGGCGATCCGGGTACTTCAGCGCAAGGAACGCAGGACGGTGCTAGTGCGAGGGCACCACAGGAAGAAGCACCGACTTGGAACGCAGCGATATCGCGTGGCACTGAATTGGACGCACTTTCACCGAATACCGAGTTACTTTTACTTTTCTGAACTAGTGCTGACTACTCTGGTTAACATGGGCATTTTGTAATTAATTTTACACTCCAAATTTCTGAGGCCAAAGATGTTGAGGATGAGGAAAATTAAAACCCGGTTCTGGTCGCTGCAAAATTCATACTCTCACTTATTTTACTTTACTTTTGAAGGGTACAGTCAATTACAAAAATGGGACAAGAATTTCGAATTTAATGGCTAAAAGAACGGTGAAGAAAATGACGATACAGGTCGCCAACAAAAGGAGAATGAAAAAATTAGTAGCAACAGAATGACAGTATTCGCACTGACCAGAGGAATGATTTTGATCCGTTTTAAATGTGCTGGAAACTTGCAAAATTGTGGTAAGTTGGTAACCAGAAGGAGACGATGAGCGATTGATTATTGGCGCGTACTACATAAGGTAGGGAGACGACAAACAAATAATAAATAATATTTTGATATTATTATTAATACAAAGATCGAACACTCAGAAAAAATTCCTTCGATCCGGTCGGATTCGAACCGACGACGTCTTCTTGCATACCGTGCCAGACCTACTTGAAACAAAAGACAATGGCAAACTCCCATATAAATTTTTGTTGACATAATTTGTATGCGTCTGTTTATGAAAAATATGTGAAAACATACAGTTGAAACTGAACAAATTTTGTTTTGGGTTTAGTGTTAGAAGTCAAGAATTAAAGATATTCCAGTTTGGAGTTTTGGAGGTTATGTGTTACGTAATTGAATAAAATATATTCGATGTATTATTATATCAAAATAAACTACAGAAGCCTTAAACAGAGTTAATAGAAGCTGAATAGTGCCGTGGATTTGTGACGTGGTGAATGTTCAGAGGATTTTCATGGCAGCCATATTGAAAAATGGCGAAAAATAAATTTTGACCGCTAATTATTATTAAACACTCATAGAGATCCCGACATGTCCACTTTCAATCGAATTAGAGCAAATTTTTATCTGGCGCTAAAAAAGTTTGTATGGCAGCCATATTGAAAAAAGGCGAAAAATAAATTTCGACCTCAAATTATTATCAAACACCTATAGAGATCCCCACATATCGATTTTCAGTTGATTTAGAGCTAATTTTTATTAGTTGTTGAATGGCGACCATATTAAAAAATGGCGTGAAACCATTTTTGATCATAAATTGTTATCAATCACTCCTAGAAACTCACACATGCCAATTTTCAAAGGGATCAGCATTTTTTCTGCCGCCAACGAACGCTTCTATGGCGGCCATATTTGAAAATAGCGCAAAACCAATTTTCACCACAAATTATTATCTTCTAGAAGCCTCCGCATGCCAATTTCCAGCCGAACCAGAGCAAGTCCGTTTCGGCAGCCACTTTTGACGAAAAAAACGCTTATATGACAGCCATATTATAAAATGGCGAAAAGAAACTTTTGACCCCAAATTATAGTTAAGGACTCCTAAAGACCCCCGTACCAATTTTCAGCCGGATCGAAGCAAGTTTTTCTTCGGCCGCCATTTTGAATTCGCCATCTTGTTTTTTTTTTAACCCAGGCAGACCACTATTAATCTCTATGGGTCGTATTCTAGAACTCTACTCAATGCTCAAGTCAGGATTGCAATTGAAACACAAGCACTGGAAATACGACTCTTATGGCAGGGACTTCAGTATGATTTCGAGTGCTTTAAACCATACTCAAATCCTGACGACCCTATGACATCCCTTCGAGCACCTCCTACCTCTAATTTGCTAAAAGTTTCCGTGATAGGAGACTTTGAAATTTGTATGGCGGATATTTGTATGTTATTTATTTGAATTTCGAACATTTTTTACTTCAGGCGGAAATTATAAAGTGCGCAAATACTCATAAAAGTGCGCAAATAATCCCTCCATACATTATAGTTTTTGAAAGCCGTCTTTCATATTTTCCACATTTAGGTCTTCTCATATTTGATTCTTTGCTTTGGAATCTATCCGCGTACAACGGTATAAATATATTTTTTCCACCATATCGGGAAATATGTGTTGAATTTCTATCAGTGAGTAAGAACTTGTAACTTTATACAATACCAATGAAATGAAGTTGTCGTTCATCTCCACATTCATCTCTGCCTGCAAGTATATTGTTCTGTGGTATTGGTACGTACTAGGGATGCACGATTTTTCCTTTGAATCGATTTTTTGGATAGTATGCCTCGAATCGATACACAGATCGGATTGTAGGGTCTTGAGCCGATCTCATAACAATCGTTTATAAAATCATTGTAATAAATAAAATACTTTTTGAAAGTATATGATTCAATTCCTATAATAATATTGGTTAGCCCAGTTACACGACGCGAAAGTTTTCGTGCGGCCGCCGCGCGGTAACCGCCTAGCTACGACGTTTTCACGTACATTAATGGCGAATCTGAATTATACTTATTAAGCAACAATATTTAAATTCCTCGAAATAATGTAACCAGCGGTCGCTGCGGCTGCCGCGTAGACCAAAGACAATTCAGCCTCAGCCAGAGGTGCATGAAATTGTTGTTTGTTTGCTTCTTGAATTTAAAACGTAAATTATATACATACAGAACGTATTTTGCTACAACAGCTCGGTATCCACGCGTTCACCGTGTATTACACGAACTTCTTCATGCGTCTGCGCGGCGGTCGCGTGGCGAGCGCACGGAGAAATTCATGTAATATAAACGCGCCGTAACGGTTTAACCGCCCTCTCAAGCAAAGGATCGTGGGTTCGAATCCGGGTTTGCACCTCTGAGTTTTTTGGAATTTACATGCGAAAATTTTATTTGAACTCTACGATGAGCTTTTCGGTGAAAAAAAACGTCATGAGGAAACTCACATCTGCAAAGCCATTTAATAATGTGTGCGAATTCAAAGTCCGCATACGGCCCGCGTGGGAACTGCGAAAGGAGGCCAGTGCCCAGCAGTAAGACTATATTTAATCGGTGGCGCCATCGGTAAAATCAAAATTACATACACGAATAATCACGACGTTATGAATCGACAAAATATAAATAAAATGTAGGTATGAATACTACTACTTAAATAATACTCAACCTAACTTGAGCATTGAGTAGAGTTCTGGAATACGACCCTACGTTTCATTATTTGTTTAGTGCAGGGTCAAGAGCACGTCAAGCTTGACACTTAAGGTTTAAATCCAACTCTATGCCGCTTAGGTTAAGCACGGTCTAAAGTACAAAGTGCTTACTTTTTAAATTCTATAAACAATGCAGATAAGCTAAAATAGTGTCGGTATTTGTCTGTAATCGATCTTGCTTCGTTGATGTAAACAAGTGACATTACCTATTTTTTACTAATCACAACAAATTAATAGAACGAGGCTTTTTTTTTAAATAACAATACAGTCTAGATGATCCAATTCACTTTAATGTTGAATCGATTGCTTAAAAATCGCATTGAAATTAATCGATTCAAAAAATTGCTAGGTCGTATTTGCTTGAATCGACTTTCATAAAAATCTAATTGCAATATGCATCCCTAGTACGTACGCTATTTCGTCGTTTCTTCCGTCACCGCCCGCCATTTTGTAAGCGATTATTTTATTAGTATCGTGACGCAGTTACCTTACTGAAATAAACTCCTAATCGCAGATTAGGTAGTGATATTGTGTAGAGGTAAGCTTTAAATACCAATGATAATAATAATTTTCATCTACATATAGAGAAAAGTTATAATTATCATTGGAATTGAAGAAATCTATTCTGATGCATGCGGTTCCAGAAAAATTGGTGTAATTTTTTTTTGTAGGAAATATGTCTAGGTACGGTGATTGCAAGGTTTATGTTGGTGATTTGGGTAACAATGCGAGCAAACCTGAACTTGAAGATGCATTTTCATACTACGGGCCGTTAAGGAATGTTTGGGTGGCTCGGAATCCACCCGGCTTCGCGTTTGTCGAATTTGAAGATCCTCGTGACGCTGAGGATGCGGTAAGTGACATTCACAGTTTATTCAAATGTGTTTCCTATAAAAATAATCTGCTCCAACAATAGTCATTTGTTAAGTTTTTATGACCTACCTACCACTGGTACTCTTGGTATTTTTCAGTCTTCCAATTGCGTTAGATTTACAGTGATATTGTGACACCTTTATCAGTGGTACGCCAGTCAAGTACCCAGTGGTCTCCACTCACATCACCGCATCCCCTGTGGCAGTGTTATTACGCAGATAAATATTTCGGTCTAATATATTTATTTGCCATATTTATATGATTGACTGATCATCCTTAGTACGATAATCATGTGTGTGCTTTTTTCAAAAGGGTGAACAAAAAAAAACTAGCAATGGCACACATTTTGCAAACTCATTCCCAAAATCTACAAGTGCTGAAGATAATAATAATATCACCAACATCTGCCACTTTGTAAAAGGTTTAATCCAGCCGGCCAGGCTGATGAATCCACCTTCATAAGTATTGCCCCTTTATTTTGGAGACATTTAAATAGATAATGGCTATCCACCATTACAACAGTATCTGCGCAAGGCTTTAGTAAGGAAACTGTTACAGGTACGTGGTTTAGATGGACGTACAATATGTGGACGCCGTGCACGTGTGGAAACTTCAAATGGTGGTCGCTATGGAGGACGCGGGCCGCCACCGCGCTCCCGGCTGCCTCCACGCCCTTATGACGACCGCTGCTACGACTGCGGTGACCGTGGCCACTATGCCAGAGACTGCACGCGTCGCCGTCGCCGCAGGTAACTTATTTAACCTCCTAAAATGGGTTAACATCAACCATCATTCGTGTTTGTCATGGAAATTAAGTATTTGGTATGGAATCTTTATTTGTAATTATTAATTTCATAAATACACTGATCTAACACAGAGTATCTTGACAAATCAACTAGAGCGTTAAAAGTAGGTAAGTTTATATTTCAACTAAAATGTCAGTAATAGTGTTAAATATATTTATATAATATATTAGTACTGCAACCTATATAACATAGTTGCAGACACTGGTAAATATTTAACACCTTATTCCGTTAAGAAGTAAACAATGGTGTAATGTAAAGATTCCATTCCTTATTTATGGACCCACATAAACCAATGATAACTATGTTATAGGTTATCATTGGCCTGTGCGCCGAGAACGAACTCGTCAGTGTCTGCACTTCTTATTGTCTGCGCTACGTAGCTTTCACTTCGCGGCGTGAGCGCCGCTAAGTTGGCCACATCTAACTTTGCTCTGCGAACTACGTAGCAGCGTGCGTACTTCACTGTCGCGAACTACATTGAGAGTAATGTTCGTTCTGCGCCCCGCTACACACGTCTAATGTAATCACTGCGTGCACTCAGTGAGTTACACATTTTATCCCATAAATTGTGTTCAGAGCAGACCTTCTTTCTTCATAAACATTTCTTTCAGTTTTGTAGGCTCAAGGTAGTATATTTTGCGTTATGTAGCTCTTTACATATAAGTCATTCTGATGGCAAGGAAATGGAGATCTCACAATGCTTTAGAAGTGGACTTACATTGGTTGTGAACTGTAAGATGATCTACCCCTTGGTGTGACAAGTGATTCTGTGTGGTTTATTTTGTTCTCGTCAGATCATTCAATTATAAAAGTAGCAATTCACAATTTGTTCATTTATAAACTTGGATAAGGCTGGGAATTGTGTGTTTTTCAATATTTTTACTGATAGGATAGCAAAATGAGATATTTGAAAATATTTATGGTCAGGCTCTACAAACATTACGCCCTGTACTAGTTGCTGTGTTTTGTAGGGTAAACATACCTTATACAAAGCGCGACGTTTTCTCTTACATGATACTGACTTTAAATGATAGAAATTACGGATTCTACAGAAGTGCGACTAGAGTTTGGATATTGGTGTAAAGATTCGCCTAATGCCACATGCTAATATATCGCCTCACGACGATGTACAACGATGGATTGGGTCAGTTGTTTGTAGTGTAGATAAAGTTGAAAGAGCATTCTCATATTTGGAGAAACAATATTTTAAGTTAGTGCTTGTATATTTACAGCCGCTCGAGGTCCCGCCGTCGCACAAGATCCCGCTCACCGCGCTCTGGCTCTCGTTCCCGCAGCCGCAGCCGCTCCAGGTCCCGTTCAAAGGGCCGTTCCGTCTCCCGTTCGAGGTCTCGTTCGCCATCGAAAGATTCTAAGAAGTCCAACTAAATATTTTGATGATTCTGGGTACTCTAGTAATAAGACGTCATTCGTTTTAAGAATGTCAAGATTTTGCTTTTCATTCTGCCGATTCTGTTGTACGCAATAAAATTACATTCCTATGTATTCTACATGCTACGTATGCTAGGTACGTATTGCTTTTGTATTATGATTTGATCAATAAACTGACTTTTTAAATATTGTTTTATTTTAACTTTCTTAATGAATGCATCTTCGTCGTTACCATTTTTCGGCGGCACTGTCTTTCAATCTCGTGAATCACAGCTCCTAGGCAAGATCTGACTGCACCGTAAGCGCTTAGTTATACGACGCGAAGTTTTCGTGCGACTACCTCGCGGTAGCTGGAATTACCACACTTTCACGTACATTAATAGCAAATCTGAATTCTATTTACTAGGCAACATTTAAATTCCTCGGAATGGAACCCCGTAGACCAAGGACAAGTCGGCCTCATTTAATTTGAAACGTAAATGGTAAATAAATAGAGAGCGTTTTGCCATGACAGTTCGGTCTCTGAACACGTGCAAACGGTCACTGCGGCGGCCACGCGGTCTCTGCGCAGCGTGAGGGCAATGAAATTCGTGTCGAATAAACGCTCTTTAAGGCTCAATTTATATTGCGACGGAACGGAATGGAAACTACTTTTTGTAACGATATTGTACACAGCGTAATGAACTTTATGGCCAATTGTGTAAAGCAAACTAGATACGAGCTCAAAACGATCTCCGTCCGAAACAATTACTGTCAAATAAGTAATATTCGACAAAATTAAAAGACAAATATTCAGTATGAATTTTCATTCGCATCACGCGTCTTTTCTTTTGGTGAAGTATTGCTTATTTGGCAGTAATTGTTTAGGACGGAGATCGAGAGCAAACCCGCTGCCGCACGGTGGGCTGAAAATCGGCTTTCACAGACTTAGGGATTTCAATTTGCAAGTGTCAGTTTTTTGCCGAATATTGCTTCTTTTAGTTATTACTATGTACAAATATGACACCCGAGTTGATTATGTTCAAAAACGAAGGAGTATAATTCTTTTTGGAATAATTTTTTACGAAAAATCGAATTATCTTTTAAACGGCAAGGAAAACCGTAATATCCTTACAGGTGGTTATAGTGCTAATTATTTATAATTTTTTGGCATACTCCAGAAAACGGTCATAAATGCCTTTTTTTAAAAAATCATCAAAATATTTTTATTTAATTTTACATGTGAAACGAAATTATTTGGTCTTTGAGTTAAGGAACACAAACTTTTTACATAACATAGCATCACCCCTATATTCCCGAAGAGTAGACACTTAGACAAACATTGTTTAGTTTTCTAATGAATCTAAAAACAAGGGATTAAGTAATTACAACTACCTATTTAATTGTTAAAATATTTTTGTTTGTTTATATACATTCTTAAGTTACACACTAAAAGGAACTGTTTCTCCTTTTAGTGTCTAAGTTAAGAACATAGTATTTCTAAATAATAAGAATATACTAAACAAGATGAAACAAAATATATTTAAAAATATGTTTCTTATTATTTTTTTATTAATAATTTCAATAAAACAGAGGTTACAAAAATATTAAAATACTATAAAATAGATACAAAAAATATTTTAATTCAAATGAAGTTACAATACAATTGTATAAAAAAATTTAAACATACAATAAAACTTTCAAGTAATATTATTAAACTGAAACAAAACTAAAAAAATTACACTTACACTACCGTCCAAAAGTTTGGAATCACCTAATTTTCGTCGGCAGAAAAACTATACCGCAATAAATCCATCAAAAAACGTATTGTTATTAGAGATCAGTATTTTTACGAACGTACTAACAATAACATTTAACAAAAACACTAATTTCTTATCAACTATCCATTGTTTTCAAAAAAGACCGACACACGTGTTTTATGACCACTCAAGTTGCGACACCGCCGTTTGAAGATTTGTTACAATTGGCGCTTTTAAGCATTGTTGTAGTAATGAGTAGTGTCTAATCTTTGAAATGTGGGTGTATTATTGCAAAAATTATCAGTTTAGAGTTCAGTCTGATTTGTGACGTTCTTGTGATAGTTACAAAAGTTTGCAAGCTCATAAAATGGCAAAAAGGAAACAGATTTCGCTTGAACAGCGGAGTGCTATCTGTACTTTGAACGAAGAAGGCTATTCTATGCGGCAAATCGCAGAAAAGATCGGTGTTTCATACAAAGGTGTACATTATACTCTTGTACGAAAAAAAGCTACTGGAGGAAATCAAGACCGGAAGAGATCTGGACGTCCCAAATCTACAAAAAAGCAGGAAGATGACTACATTGTGACGTTATCGAAACGAAATCGACGTTTAACTGCACCTCAAATTGCCGCTACTTTAAATGAAACCCGAGAAAAGCCAGTTTCAATAACAACTGTTAAAAGGCGTTTACTATCTGCTGGTCTAAGAGGATGTGTAGCAGCCAAAAAACCCAGATGGACTAGTGTTCATAAAAGAAAAAGACTGGAGTGGGCCAAAACACATAAAAACTGGACAGTAGAAGACTGGAAAAAAGTGCTTTGGACGGATGAGTCCAAATTTCAGATTTTTGGATCCAATAGACGAGTTTTTGTGCGCCGATCAAAAGAGGAGCGGGCTTTAGAAGCGTGTACTGTGCAGACTATTAAGCATGGCGGTGGCAGTGTGATGGTTTGGGGATGCTTTGGTAATAATAAACCCGGCCATCTGATCAAAATCACCGGGAAACTGAATAAAGAAGGCTATCTGAAAATACTTCAAGAAAATGCCATTCCCTCTGGAATTAATGTGATTGGTCGAAATTTTGTTTTTCAACAAGATAATGACCCTAAGCATTCATCCAAATTATGCCAGGAGTTTTTAGAGCAAAAACGAAGTCAAAAAGTTTTGCAAATTATGAAGTGGCCCTCACAATCGCCAGATTTGTCTCCGATTGAATTAGTATGGGATGAACTGGATAGAAAAGTGAAGAGCCGGTGCCCATCAAGCTCAGCACAGTTGTGGGAATATTTACAGAGCGAATGGAAGTCACTGGAATCCGAATACTTTAATAAATTAATCATAAGAATGAGTAAAATTTGTGAACTAGTAATTAAGAATAAGGGTGGCCATTTTGACGAAGCGAAAATTTAACGAAAACTGTATACTTTGTTTTTATTTGTACTGATTCTATTTAACTGAATGCTAATCTAAGGTTTAATTAAGATTAAAGTGTAATAAAGTTTAGTATACTTTACACATATTACAGTCGTTTAAATTAAAATTACCCTAGTGATTCCAAACTTTTGGACGGTAGTGTATATCAAATAATAAATAGGTACCTAAGCACCTATACTAAAACCTAACCAAAGACAAAACTAAAAATGAAACATTTCTAGTTAACTACATAAATATCTAAAAACCAAAAAAATATTTAAAAAAAGCAGTACCTACTTTAAATACAACATACAAAATATTTTAATGACTAATTTGATGAATTAATAACTACTTAAACCTATTGGTACAATAAACTTACAAAAATAGCAAGAAATCATAATACGTAATTAAATTTACAAATTCTCCTTATCACTCTTGTTGTCGGACTCCAATTCTGAGTTAGAATCCAGATTGGAGATATCTAAAACCTCGAACTCAGTCTGCTGAAACTGTATTAGATCAAGAGTTTCAGCAAAAAAGCTCTGCTTTCTCTTGGCATCTAATTTAGGCCTTTGTGCACTTAGAACAGGATCTGAAGACACAAGCATATTCAGGATGTCTAGATTTGAATCTTGCCTGCTTCTTTTCCTAGAATGATGTTCCCTGAACCTCCTGAAATCTTTATTTCGAGACTCTGAGGCTTCTTCCGAAAGAGTCCCAATAGGCACAATGTTGTTTTTCTCTATTATGTCAGCCCCATGAATTAATAATTTATGCACAGTTGCCGACATGTAATACCAGTCGTATAATTCCACGTATATTTCTGCTGTTTTGCGGGCAAAATATTTGAATTTGACAATGTCAATCTTTTCTCCAGATGTGATTGCCTGCAAAATAACAGCAAATCTCTTGATAAATTCTTCATCCAACCCAGTAATAGTTGCAGTTTTTTTGGGAAACTCGAAAAACTTTCTGGCTGTATTCCCATCATTCGTAGTTCCTGAACCTTGTTTCACTATATCAATCAACAGATTGAGCTCATCTTTGAATTTATTTTGAATCAGTTTCTTTCTTGTCTGCAACATCTCTTTGTGCTCATTACTTCTCGCAGCCCACTGTTTGAAGTCAAGTCTGTACACAATGTGTAACAGACATTCCATGCAATTTATTCGGGCATGTAGGGATGACAAGCCAGCTCATATATATCAGAACACACGGTCTTTGATGTTACAGCATCTAAGCGGTTCATTTCTGTTGGTTTCGATAAACACAGGTAGCATGATGCATTTGATCTGGCTTCAGAAAGATAAGTGCAGACTTTACCGTCAATCATTGTCATTAATAGTTGATGAGTCACACTGTTAATATTACTGCATTCTGTGGGGATAAGGGCCTTGATTTCATCATCCATTTGTCTTTTGTGATCAATGACAACTGCTTCGCTCTCTTCTACAAAAGTAAACTGATCTGGACGACAATACACAGCCGAGCAAGGTTTTGGGTTCGTTCATAAAGTATTATCTCCATCTGTCAGTTTTAATGGCACTAATGTGGTCATGAAAATGCTTGAATCATCTTGCTCGCCTTCCATTTTCTGTTTGTATCGGCTTTGGTTGGAAGCACCATCAAATCCCCACTTAGATATTAGCTTTAGCTGTTTATTTTACACATCATCAGAAAGACTTTGAAGGATCCTAGTCACCGTGATGTCAAGTAAACATTGAAGGTTAATCCTGGCCGATGAATTCGTAACTGATACTGATTGCTTCGGAGGATAGCAATCAAGCTTGGCCGCGGAATTCCGTAGCTGCCGTCGGCGACGCCTGGTGAATCCGCGGTAGGCAGACGCTATGTGGCGTCAAACGTTGACGAAATACTACAGCCTCAAGGCGCGCCTTCTAGCGTAGCGAGGCGAAGTTGACACTTCCGTTCCACCTTTTAACTTTTAAATTCCATTTGTCGCCAGTGGCAACAACAGATCTTTTTATCCCATATTACCATCTGGTAACATATTATGGGTATTTTTTTTCCCATTTAGAGATTTTTTTATCCCGTTTGTCACCACCTGGCAGTGTTGGGCAAAATTTAATTATTAAGACGAATTAAAGATTGACAATTAATTAACTGTCAATCGTGACAACAGCAACTAAAAATGTATTAATTTTCAATCGCGACAACAGCAATAAGCTAATAATTAATTGTGGCTCAACTGTACATTACCATCGCACGAGTTGAGAGTTGAAATTAATATGGTGAATAGATTACATAGTTAGCAGTGTAATCCTAAAATATTAGCTTTAGGAAACTCGTAGTTTTGATAATAAAAATTATTGAAATATTCGAAAATATATGATAGGAAACAGGTTTTATAGGTTAGGAAAGCACGCGCCGCGTTTCGTTCATTTTTTTTTACGAAAATGTTTATTTTTTTGCGTTATTTCAAAAATTTTCCGCAGTATTGAATTAAACAGCACAAATTAATACGTAATTGTAAATTTAACATAGAAATTTACTATAATTAGTATGTAAGCTTTTATTTTTTATTGAACAATTATTTTTTGTTGCAAAAAAATAACGAAACGCGTAAAGAACGCCATGTTGTTTGTTGTTGTTTACTGTTTGATGTATGCATCAATTAGGATTTTGCGTTTTTGCCTGGTTTTAGGTTTAAATTTAGTTTTTCATATAACACAGGAAGTGGGGTTGGGGGGGTGGTTTGGGGGTGGGATTTTCCCGCTAGGGGTTCGGGGGGAGGGGTTTACCCCGCTCTTTGGTGCGAAAACATGATTTTTTGAGGTTATTTTTTTCGAATTTTCAAAAATTAATATCTCGAAAACTATTAACTTCCTAACTTTGAAACTTGCACGAAGGGTTCCCTCCCCTCCCCCCTCTCACCCCTCAAATCGTGCGATGGTAATGTACAGTCCTTCCTTAATTGTAATTAACAATTACAATTAATTAATTGATGTTGTCGCAATTAACGATTAACCAATTTGTGGCGGACTGTATCAATGGGTGAAAGGGTAAAGGGTGGAAGCTAACAACGAGTGAGCAAGGCCAAGAGGATGTACTTACAATTTATTAATTTTATTTTAAACACGTATATTGCTATCAAAGCAAAACAGCTCAAATTTTTCAATCCCCTAAGAGCTCAAGTGAAGAAAAAGGCGCCAAAAAAATCTCGTTTAAATTTAGAATTTAAGTAAAAAAGAGACTATTTATAAAATATATAGAAAAAGATTTGTAGCGATTCGCTACATCGTCCGGGCGGAGAAAAGGATGGGACCGTAGACTCCGTATAGAGGAATCTATAGGTATCCTAATGAATTTCCTTACGTAGCGTGCCGCCACGAGTCGCCACGTCTGCGACCCTGACCTCACCGTCTCTACCAGGGGTAAAGTTGGATTACTTTACCTTTGGGCCATCCACCTCTAGGTAACGTGACATTGGCGATGATTACCAAGTCTCCTACATTAGAGGAGTTCCCGGAGGTCGGCTTTGAAGGATAGGTAGTATCTCCTTGACCCGCCTAGATCGAAAGTGGTCAGTCAGACGGAGGAATTTCTTCCACTCTACCCTACGGACAAGGTCACGGTCATCTAAGCCCATGATGATTTGGTTGGATTAAGTGCCTAATAAAAAATTAAAAGGAGTGAGTGTTTGGTCGACGTCATTGGCAACCACCAATCCACCAATTGGCAACAAACAATCGTAAACAGTCGTCCCCTAACACATGTTCGTGTTAGGGGACGACTGTTTACGATCGCTTCGGCTTCCAAAAGAAGAGTCTCGAAAATTTCTGACTAAGGTGCTTGTCCGACTAAAGTAACTCTTAATGCCGTCTTCACACTTCTTACAAAGCGTTCTGAGTATGGCGTGTTAGAGCGTGCGTTTTTTGAGTAGAAGCTCTTTATAACACTTGTAAATACCAAATAAATAGAGAATTTAAAGTTACAAGGAAAAACTAAGACATGAGTGACACAGTATAATACAGAACAAAAGCTTTCCAAAAAAACTAAATCTTTTCAGTAGCCAGGAACACTATCCATGACACTTTCCCTCACTGACAAGAAGAAAGTTTCTCATGATTCTCTAAATGTTCTCATGTACTCCCAGCTTAGCTCGTATTTCTATGAGTCTTGGTTGGGGTACGGCCTTAGTCATTATGTCTGCTAGTTGAATGGCAGAGCTTGTTTTTTCCACAACTGCAAGACCATCTTGAACAGCTTCACGAACGAAGAAGTGTCTGACACGAATGTGTTTAGTCCTCATATGAAACTCAGGATTATGAGCAAGGCGAATAGCAGCTTCATAGTCAACTTTTAAAGTTGGCACTTCCTTAATATCTATCAGATCACAGAATATTCTCTGAAGCCATATAAGTTCTCTGGTTGCTTCACTAGCCGCTACAATTTCTGCTTCGGTTGCAGAGATTGCAACCGATGGTTGTCTTTGACTAAGCCATGATACGGCACCTCCTGCATAGAGACACGCCACTCCAGTGGTTGAACGTCCTGTCAACATGTCACCAGCATGGTCAGCATCGCTGTAGCCTTCTATAACTTCTTTTTCAAAGTTTGAGCTATATTTTATTCCAAAGGTCATTGATCCTTGCAGATATCTAAATATTCTCTTCACGGTTTGCCAATCGTATTTTGTGGGGTTTTCCAACTTCCTTGATACCATACCCACTGCATATGCTAAATTGAGACGTGTAGCTACCATTAGGTATGCAAGAGCACCTTCAGCTTCTCTGTAAGGAAATATTTTTTTCTTCCATTTCTCTACTTCTCTTGTTTCATCAGAAGAATCCTTTTGTATCGGTGTTGAAATGGGATTGTATTTCAACATACCAAACCGTTCCAGGATTTTTTTAGTATAAGCTTCTTGCCTTATAAAGATGTCATTATCTTTTGATCTATCGATTTCCAAACCTAAGTAAAAAGACGCAAGTTTCGTGGTTATTTTCAGCCTCTTCTTAATATCATTTAGGAAATCGTCGACTAACTCTTTATCTGTTGCAGCTACTAGCCTAGAGCAGTTTCTTGTATGAACAAGGTAATGATACCTTCTTAATAAAAAGAGCTGTCAGAATCACTCTGTTGAAAGCTCATATCAAGTAAAATCTCTTCAAAGCACGAATTCCAGCAACGTGGGCCTGCTTTAATCCATAGAGACTTTTCTTTAATTTCCATACTTTCGACGAGCATGCGAAGATTTTGAATTAAGTTCCGGTTCATGAACTTCGAATTCCTCTTCAGCATCTTTAAAATTTTCATCGACAAGTTGTTCATGAGGTATTTTGTCCTGCTGTTGAATGTCTGAACTTAATCCTGCAGTATCGTCAGGGTTCTCAATTGGGACCGGTGTTTGTCGTTGCTTGTGTCCCTCTACTTCTGAAGTATCGTCAGAAATACACGCTGATGGGGCCGGTGTCTGTCGTTGCCTGTCTCCTCTACTTCTGAAGTATCGTCAGAAATACACGCTGATATATCTGAAATATCTCCCTCTATTTCTATAGGATAGTCAGAAACCTTTGTGGAGACTTTAAATTCAACACCGGGTTCGAAAGTAATATCTCTGGATCGAATAATCTTTTGACCATCCCAGACGCGATAGCCATCGTCATTTTCATACCCAATGAGTTTGCCTTTTACTGCCTTTCTATCCAGTTACTTACGCTTTTGCTTTGGAATGTGAGCGTAGCACTCACTGCCAATAATACGCAGATGAGAGATTCTGGGTTTCCTCTCATGCCATAATTCAAACGGCACTTTATTGTCAACTCTAGTCGGACCTGTGCGATTGTGTACATAAGTGGCCGTGTTGATGAGTTCTGCACAGAGTGCTTGCAGTAACTCACCTCTTGCGTGCATCATGGATCTAGCGGCTTCTACTAATGTACGATTTTCTCGCTCACTGCACCCATTTTGTTCTGGTGTGTATGGCATCGTAAGGCGCTGCTGAATCCCGTGCTTTTTCAAAATTTCTCTGACGGCTCTGTTGTCAAACTCCCCTCCGTTGTCGCTTAGTATTGCTTGAACTGTGTGTCCAACAGCGTTTGTCTCATTCAGCATTTGTATTAACTTATCTTTTACCTCATGCTTGTTTTGAATAAAGTGTACTGTATATTGTATATTGATCTGACTATGGTTCTTAAACGTAGAATTGACGAAGTTCGTTTATCACAATTTCGTTGTAGGCGTGTGCAGTTTTGTGATGGAAATGAAATATTAGGAGTATTACGGCTGTTTTTCTTTAAGGTATGTGAGGACAAGATTTGTTTCCATTCTTCTAAGGGATGTAAGGACAAGATGTGAATTTATTCTTCTTTAAAGGCATCCAGTGAGACCTCCGTACAATATCCTCGCCTGCAGTGGTTAAGTCTTCCGCAGCCAACGTTTGGGTGCCAGCACGAGAACTATGACAAGATGGGGATGGATTATAAACACGTAAACAAATTATAAGAATAAATTTGCTTGCAACTAAATGAGTACGCGCCGTAGCACGGACTAGCCTCAACCAACTGTTGAGGCGAGTCGCGTCTGCAGTTACCGGGGTGGGTAACGGCAGGCGAGGAGAGGCTTGTATGAGGCTCTCGACTAGTTCGTCGGTAACGGGAGCTAATCTCGATTCCGTCCGCCGTCTAGTAGCGTAGACGGCTGCGCTTGCGTCTGTAAAGACATGAAGTACTAGATTCGCTTTTAAAATCACGCAAAACCGAGTTTAAGCTTACGCCATGTGTCTGAGGTGCCACATCATTAACTTCTCTCGGTTTCTTCTTTCGTGGATGGTATATACCAATATGGGGTACATACCAGAAGATACGTTGAGAGGCGCGGCTGGGTACCCTTTGTATAATGGTAACTTTGCGAGGGACATTTCTCAGCGTAACCCTTTTGTAACA